TATCATGCTAAGTGAAATAAGCCAATACCAAAAAACCAAAGGTCAAATGTTTTCTCTGATATGTACAAGCTAATCCACAATAAGGGAAGCGGGAGGAGTGGAAGAATAGAAGTTCACTGGATTAGACAAAAGGGAATGAAGGGAAGGTAGGGGGTAAGAAAAGGAAAGTCAGTGGAATGAATCTGACATAACTTTCCTGTGTATATATATGAATATACAACAGTGAACTTCACTTTCGTGTATATCCATAAGAATGGAGCCCTAATTAGCAAAAGAATATTCTACTCTTGTATAATTATATCAAAATGGAATCTACTGTCATGTATAACTGAAAAGAATCAATTAAAAAAATAAGAATAAAGGAGGCACAGTGGGACTAAAGTTAGGAAATGTGGATTTAGCTCAACTAAGAAACAAGTCACATTCTCTGTTTCCCAGGCATCCACTAGGGTCAGGAGGCTGCCCCTCAGCCTCCATTCTCACTATAAAGAAGTTCAGGAGCTAAAATAATTTGGAGGCTTTAACTTCAGAGGGGTTCTGTTTCAACATGAGACTCAAAGAAGGTCCAGATGTTTGAAGTGTAAAAAGCATTTCTGTCTACAGGAGGGAATAAAGGTTTGGGATTCTGGGTGGTAGGGGGGAATGATGATAGTTTACAAAGAGAATTAAAGGAAATAAATACATGGCAAATAGGAGAGTTTGCTCTGTGCATGAAGTTTCTCAGGTAACAGGCTTCAGAAAAATAGATGATTGCTTGCAACAAAGTCTTTCTGGATGAGATTTCAGATCTTCAGTCTTATTTTCCAAAAATAAATATTTTTTGTTTAATGAGATTGCAGAGAAGGAGTTCATGATAATTGCATTCAGGAGGAACTTCCAATTCAGACAAGGGAACTTTAGCCCCCTCTGAGTTATTCATCCCTGATCCCACCTCCATGTGTATATGAGATGCACATGTTAATAAACTTTCATTTGTTTTTCTGTTGTTAATGTGATTTCTGTTATATGGACCTCCAGCAAGAACCTAGAAGGAAAATATTTTTTCCTCTTCTATAATATATTAAGAAGAGCATTTACCATGTGGGGAAAAAAACAAATAAACTAATATTCCCCATATGTAAATTGATCTTGAAGGACTCTGGTTTAAAACTAATCTCTTGTTATTTTGGTTAATATAGATTATCATTCACCAGGTATCATTTCATCCCCAGATTCACTGAAAAATTTCAAGGTTCAGGAATTGCCCTACAAACCTGATGACCCATCTAGATATACTGGTCGCTGACTGACACCAGAGTTATAGGATGGTGTGCAGTTACCTAATTAAAAAGATTGATACCTTGGTCTTTTCTCTGATTGTTTCAGATTCAGAATCATGTAACATTGCAGGAGACTAGAGAACTTAAGGTATTTGAATGCTTAGTATTTATCCTGCCCATACCCCTCCTATATGAAGGGAACATTCTTCTTACCCTGTATCTCTCTCCCTAATTTACAAATAGAATTCTTATAACACTCTACCTGCTTGCACCCTCAACATTTTCTTCTCCTATTTATTTCCTTATAACAACATTTAAGTCTAAAATCTCATTCTCAATTGAAAAACTTGACATTTTGAAGTCTTCAAACTTCCACTTAATTTATTTCCCCGCTGAATGAAAATGTTTATTATCAGGCAAACTCACTTATACTATTATCTTCTACTTAATGTGGAATGTTATCAGGAAATGAAATGCCTTAACCCATCTACAATGAATTGGCCTTCTTAGGAATGTTCTTAATAAATAAGTCCAGTGGGGGTGTCTCAGTCTGGTTGATGGAGGAGGGGTACTGTTTGATCTGAGGTTCATAGCTTCTGTTGTGTTCACAGCTTACTATGCTTTGCATATTAGAAATTCCCCTCTTCTAGTCAGGGAGAGCAGATGACTAAAGTCTCATGTTTTATCCAAAGAATGAGGAAATAAAAAGTCAATTTTCCTTGGAGTACCTACTGTGAGCCAGGAGCCATGTGACTATCAGTCAGCTCTGCCTGTGCCACTCATTTGGGTGGATCTAAGGATGCTACCACAACAATGCTTAGGTCATGGCTTGCCTTCAGCTAAGCACATACAAACACGTTTATATACCCAGATACATAAACATATTCCATACATTAAGGCACACACAGACCTATGTACAATACAATCACATCTACTCGTACACCGTAGTAAGTGCAGCCACACTGCTCATACTAGTGACATAATACAAACTGCATGCATAAATATGCTCATCATACACATTGGAATAACATACTTTATTTATAGAAGGAAAGGTCATTCAGCTTGGTAGGTTTAAAGATGTCAATGTCAGGAAAAGTCCTGGATTAGTCAAGACGAGATGTCACATGAGCTGAACCTTGAAAGAACACTTAGGAGTAACTTAGGTAAATGAGGACAGACTATTATTACAGGCAGAGAACCACAAAAACAAAATTGTAGTATCATGAGACTGTGATACATAACTCTGGTTGGAAAACATTGACATGAAAATGCAAACTGGGGAGTGGCAGTGGCTGTTGATGTATGCAGGGCCATCACCTGAAAATCACGAAATGTTCTCTCCAACCTGAGGTCCCAGACAGATTGTCTAGTTGAAGGGAGGCTTTATGAGCTTCACATCTTCTATATTATCAACATACCCATCCATGCTACAATGGAATTGAATATAGCTATAGCTCCTGGTCTCTCTGTAGTTATTTAATTTCTCCCAGTGACAAGTGAGTGTTTTGATGGGACGCTGGGCCCATATGTATGTATTTCTGTAACGGTCATTCCATTTGCTACTAACGCATACATGCTCAATTTTGTACCATGAGATATAAATGAACATGTGAGAGAGCTTGTGGCTCAGATTTCCTTTTTTCATGAGATTGTTACATTTGTAGGAAGCAAAATCTTGGCTTGGACTTAGGTGATGTTCTTCCATAAATTTCCTCCTGGAAACGTTCTCACTGTGCAAAAGTAAACTGCATTGGAGACACAGCAGGACCAAGAGGGTGACCCAGACCTTTAGAGAGGACGCCATCTCAGTGACCAGGACCACCTGTGTATGCACAGGGAAGAGAGAGGAAAATATTAAGGCATGCCTGGAGGGTTGCGCTGCACTTCAGAATTCCTGTTCCTGGGCTGGAGATATGGCTCAAGCGGTAGCGCCCTCGCCTGGCATGCGTGTGGCCCAGGTTC